CACACACACACACACACACACACACACACACACACACACACACACACCAACTGTTTTTTAAAGGTTAAATAGAAAAAGCATTTGACTATATTTCAATGTGAAGCTGTTCTTCCTTACGTGTTTAAATTAAATGCTGTTGAAATAAAGGTAATATGTGACCAAAACACAATACAAAACAATAAATCTTTATTTTCCACCAGGTTGGAAAACGTGTCTTCACCTCAACAAACACAGGAAACAGAATACAAACATAAAAAGCAAACAGGCAGTGGGTAAAAAAAAATATATACAAATACATAGACCGGTCATGTTACACAATTAAAACTTCACGTCAATGTCTGTGTGAACATTAATGGCACCTGGGATGTCAAAAAAAACTTAACTTAAAGCTCCAACGTGGTTTTATTTAGTAGGTTTACTTAGGCAACAAAAGTACTTGAAGTTACTTTAAATAAATATGTTTTTTAAAATAACTAAGTTTCCAACGGGACACGTACAACGGTCTCCTGAGTGACAGTCCTGTGTTTGTTTGACACATCCAACCTCCGCTACCACCCCTCATTTCGCTCTTTATGCTACATCAGGTGGTCTGAGCGTTTGATAATGACGCAGATGTGTTTACGTTGGATTAAGTTGAAAGCCCGCTGTGTCTCAAACAGACGCTAACGGGTTCCTCAATGTGTTTGATGAGTTGGGAGTGAGAACGGGTTGGCAGGTCATAAAGGGTCAGTTTGCGTAAATAACACGCAGGAAAATTGCTCTTTCCAAAAAACATCCAATATTTGTTTGCACAGTTAACATAATAAAGTTTTAAATAGTCAACGTATCCTCATAACGGCTTGTATGACACCTTACGAAAAGTTACTTTCACTTCTGGTGCGTTTTCCTCCGAACGTCCTGACAACACGTGTCAATTTCTGCTCGACATGCACACGGTCTTTTCAAAGTAAACCTCAGAACAAAGGGGACACATGCTCTCTCTTCAATCACCTCTGTTGTGGTTCGTTGGGTCCAAACGTCTTCATCAGAGCACTTTAAAAAGACGATCGATGGGCTGCAGTTTGTGTCCCGAACCTTTTAGGTTTTTTTTTGCATTTTCTTGGCTGCACTTCCCCAAAAGGTCACCTGTCAATCAAACAGTGGAGGCAGCGCTGTAATGAAGTCTGAGTTCCTCAGTCAGGCGTCTCTTTCTGCTCATCCTCAGTTCTTCTATTTACTTCCAGACGAACCAGAAACTGCATCGCTTCCTGTTCACCCGAGCTTTCTTCTTGTTTTCCTGACAGCGATGGTTCAGCTGGACGCACACCAGGCTGAATCACTGGTGTTTTACAGCAGCCAGCAAAACTGACATTTATTTACATGTGAATGTGGATGAAGATTTATTTGACGGCTGGATGGAAACACGGTGTTTGTCTCTTTCTCTTTCTCACGCACGAGACAATCGATCTGGGCCAGATGCTGCTTTTAGTGGCTTCTACCAGCTCTAATTTATTTTCCATTCCACTAATCTCATATATTTTTGACTCACAGCTTTGGTGTTTGAAGTCAAAAAAATTTGGCATTATTTCCACACCTGTCTCAGAGCTCCGTGTCTGATGCAGGAGCGACATATTTATCACAGTACTGGATGGCTGCCGCAGCCGATTCCAACATTTCATGTTCCAGAAGTTCCATGTCAGATAAATAGAGAGAAAGTGAACTCCTCAGAGACTACGTTTATACATGCACACTCAACTTCCATCATTATTCAGAATATAGTGGATTTGATGTGGTTCATGTAAACATCAAATTCTGTTTGGATATTCTGAGTGAGGCCTTATTCCGAATGGAACAGATTCAAAATGAAACACGTGTGATATGTTGATATTATTCTGGTTTTAGGAGCATTCCTTGGACATGTGTACAGCACATTATGAATATGCGTCTCAATAGAGGTTTGTACGGCACTTTGCGGCCTCTTTCCTGTTTACGACCAGCTGTGTGCATTGAACACAAACCAACTGGCCAATAGTTTGCAAAGCTGGAGAGATACATGCCCATGTTTACAATGTTTACTGAGGTAATAAATCAAGAGAGAAGTAG